ATTTATGTAATAATATTTTGATATTTATATAGCCACATATTGCATTAAACGCTGAGGAGATACTATATTTTAGATGCGGTATATTACTAGTATCTAGTGTAGGACAGAGCAATGGTGCATTGGTTGGCCAGTGTGTTCTTGAAATTTTGAGCTGTGGTGCTCATGTGGATGATTCTGGTTCGGTTCTGGTCTGCAACATATGCAAATCCCACTTTCTCCCTATTTTTTCTGTTCTGAATAATTTGATGTGCATTCTGCACTGTAAATCTGTCTAATAAAGCAGAAAAATCCATAAAACAACAATGGAGGGCATAAGTCCGAGTGATGAAAAAGAAAATCATCGAGAATCATGTGGGCTAATTAGAGCGTTAATCTGTCCACTCTTTGTGTTTATCTTGGATTATTGCCCCTATCTTGGAAAATGCACATGTCCACTAGAGACCAGGATGTGACCTGCAGAAGAACTGCAGAAAAACAATAAAACCATCAACTGACCCAGAGGTCATCTCTGCAACATCCCGTCTTCATGGCATCTACACAATGTGTTATGCTCCGAAGCGTGATCCTTAAGGTTAGAGGGTTTGTTCAGATCTCCGACCCTCAGTTCGAGGAACAGAATGCTTGGCTAACCAAGCATCAGTAAAATTCAAAGGCAGTGATCATATAACTGTCTGACAGCCATCTTTCAATGCAATGTCATGCTAATTTAGCTGGATTTCTCCCCCAAAGCTGCAGGGTCTCTCTGCCTCTCTTTGATGAACAAGCAGAGTCATTACGTCCACATTAATGTCAAGCCCCTCTTATTTTCCATAAGTAATACATGGCGGTTGCTGTTGTCATTAAACATGTTCTAATTTGTTCTCTATTACAAAAAACCACAGTGTTGATTAATTCACACTTCAAGCTGAACAACCACTATTTTTACAAGGTGACTGCGAGTTGCTCTTTTGATCAACGCTAATGCGACACTTTTTTCATTAATTCGGCGATGAAAGCGGAGTGCTTAATTGTCATATTATGGATTTGCTAGTAAATCTGTATTTTGTTTGGTGGTTTGCTGGCAGGAAAAGCATTTAAATTCTCACAGTTTGTATTTTCTTTGTATTGTATTTACAGTCTGTTTGTATTTTGGTGTCTGTTTCTCGGGAAGGAAGCCCCTTGTGCAGATACACACAGCGTTCTCCATTACTCCTAATAAGGTGTCATAAAATTGAATTCCATGCTTGATTTGTCAAAGAGGAGTTCTTATCCTACTCCAATTTTGAGTTTTAATGGGTAATACTCCTTAGCTGTCTCCTCACAATTAGGCCTCCTAGTTAGCTTTTAATGAAAATCAGATTAAAACATAATCTAATTAAAGTGCATTTTAATCCACGCTATCGTCCCGACTGTCTGTGGCTCAGAATCATGCCGGCACACTGTCAAACTCGGTTAGTTTGCATAGAAGAGGAAGGCCAGACTATCAATCAAGGGTATTTACATATGTATGTGTGTTGGAAAACTCGTATGAAGTGCATTTCCGATCACATTCCCTCTTTAATTTCCTGGGTGAATCTCAGGAAGACATGCCGGGTCACATTCCACTTCAAAATCAGAAGAGTTTTTTTATTTTTAAATAGTAATTTCCATGATGAAAATAAAGCCTATTTTTAGTAGCATTAAGATTTTTTGTAATACAATATTTGAGCACATTTTCATCTCCAAATTACTTTAAAGCTTCCATTTTTTTTGTTCTTTTGAGTATATTTATTTATTCTCAATTATTTTTCGTTTTATTGTCATGACAGTAATGTAATATCTTTCCTACATCACAGTATTACTATCGTTTTATAGTTTAATGAATTAATTAATGAAGAATAGCATATGCAGTTACAGTGAGTTGCTTTGTCTTGTTAAATTCTGTTTTTACATAAATGAACAAATAAATTAATAAAATGCATGCATATATATATATATATATATATACACACACACACACACACACACGTATACCTTAAAACAAAACAGTATTAAAGACATTATAGATGCTATCATGATGTATTAATATACTTAACAATATTTAACTGCAAAATTTTTTTTTATCTATTATAAAAGCATGCAAATCAAATTTAAGAAGACAAAGAAAGTCACAGTAAATAATATACTGATGCCATTTCCTATGCTTATTCATAATAAATAAGTAAATCACATTACTGTAGTAATATTTAGGCTTACTGTAATACATGAAAATTATTACATTTAATATTTTTCCTTTATCACAGTAAATTTCTCTATAGTTCTGATTTATTTCTATAGAAGCGCACAAGTCAAATTTAACAAAGACAAAGCAAAAATAGAATGTTTTTCTATTAGAAGTATTTATAGAACTGTAGAAATATTTACTTTAATACATGGGGAAAAAAATATTTATGTATGTCACAATGTGAAAAAACTCAGGTCGTAATAATGGTCCTAAAAATAAGCTTTGTTGTCTTTATGCAAAATATGATTTCTTATTTATTTTAATTTTGGAGTGAAATATAAGCCATAAATGTTCAGGTTTTATGAGATTCACACTCCTTTCCTGTGCATAAAAATAAAAAGGGCCAAACTCATTTAAAAATAATTGTTGGATCACTTTGGGAATGAATGGGACAGGCCTGCCATCATGAGTGAACTTCAGCGGAAAAAGTGAAGTGAAAAAAACTCACAATCAGTGACAGCTGTCAACTTTCAGATCCACTGATATCCATAATTCCCAGCATTGGAGAGGGTTAACAGAGCGATGGAGTGATGCCTCTCTGTTTGAGCCGTGTTGGCCTGTCAAGTCTTTTCTGAACCATGACAGTGTAATATGTTTTACAAGCAGAATGGCCAAGGGTTATTTCACAGTCAGAGAGAGCAGGCAGGCCAGCCAGTAAAGCGCCGCTGCACGTGGGAACAGCCATGCGACGACGCAGCACATTTAGTCCACCTGCTGCCTGCTGCCACACTTAGACGAACGTTTGAGCTCCCGAGTGTCAAGGGAAAAGCGCAAAGGCCAATTTATTTCTGTCTTTGTGTCTGGTTTACATTAATAGGAGATTACGACAAAAGTAGCTTGCAAAGAGAGACCATATCTGTTAGCGTTTTCAGACAGTTTGCTGTAATTAAACTCCGGTTTTAATGAGCAAATGCGGCCAGCAGAAAGACAAACATGCATATGAGGATTATGGGTTAAAAAAAGCCACAAAGCTCAAATGTCTTGTCGACAGGACAGCAGTTTCCTTCACCCTGGTGTTGTGGGACGCTGCAAATTTAGAGGTTTGACCTTTGTGTCCCTCGTATGATGGCAAAATAGACCATTCGCCCCATCTAAAATTCCCTCTGATTTTTTAAAACTTGATTATTAATGTCAGACCTGCAAACTTGAGGCTTTTTCTCGCAGTATCTATTCTAAGACATGTGTACCTTTTATGACTGGTGCCCACTCCGGGTAATAAAGTGCTGATGCCAGCTTAAAAGAAACTTTAAACACACTTGGTGTAATCAAGGCACAATGCAAAATGGCAGGTCAGCAAAACCAGCCAAAACAATACCCCAAGTCCCCCCTAAATATAACCTTTTTCAGTGCAGCAAATGTTTTGTTTCTGCCTTCCCATACCTCGTATATTTAGATCATTGTTTCTACCTTTCGGGTTTGACTGACCCATTTAGGGTGGTGATTTTGAAAATTAATTTGAGAAACTGATGTGAGGCAACCATCAGAGCAATTTCTAATTGAGGCCAAAATATCTCTAACGCTTTATGTTGGAGCATAGTATCACATAAGTGCTTTAAGATCATGGGTTTTGCAAAGAAGTTGTTTTCCAGTACAAGCAAAAAAAAAAAAAAAGACAAAGCAAAATTATGATTGTTTATGATATTAAGACCTGTTTTCAGAGAGTATATATTTATTTACCCCTATATTTTTTTTCATTTAGAATATAAATCTAAGCATTTGGTGAGGCTTATGTTTCAAGAGAGAAGAATGATAATTTGCTAATGAGGTAAAAAAACAATTTAAGTTACAGTATTTTTTTTAGAATAAGTCATAATCTTACACGGTTTTGCTTTTCAAGTAAATCATTCCAATCTTATGAGAATACCGAAGTCTACACTACAACTCTAACGATATCAACACAGAAGTACGAAAGCTTTGGAGTCACTCTCAGAACAATTTTTTTTTTTTTCAGCTAATGAAAAAAATTAAAAATAAAACTAATCAGAATCCACACAAATTTAAAGTGGCAGATGATAAAAAGGTGCTGTGGATGCTAATATAGTTATAATTATAGTCATCTTTATAGTTCTTGATTTTGGTGTGAATGGGTCTTAACAGTAGCACTCCATTTGTTAATGCTGCAATAACTTAAGAACACATGTTCAGTGGAATTGCATTGGGCAAACATCCGTGTTTTTCTAAAATATGTTTCTGGCCATAATTGTCTGCCCTTTTATATCTAGAACTTCTGCTAAACATCCTTAATTTAGGTAAAAAAAATGCTGCTCTTGTAGAAGACTATTAATGTCTGAAATCAAACTTAAAATCTCAAAAGTCTCCTGCTTTACGAGTAAATACATTTTATATATTTAGATTTTTTTAAATTGGGAAAAGTCAAATACAGATTTATAAAAAATATTTTATCAGTGTAAATGTCTTTATGATAGACATTTTTCTTTTCTGTCATAGAGGTGCCTCAAGGTGTTGTCCTGGGTCTGGTTTCATTTCACTATCATTACTGAAGCTATTGGAGTTTCTGTGCTTTAATTTGATCATTTTTGTCACTTGAAAATGGACTTCATTGAGGATCTTGTACAAGAGCCTTTGGCTTTATATCTGATGGAAAATTATTCCAAGATATAGATCCCATCCATTTGCTTGGATTCAGCTGCCGCAAATAACAGCAAGAGCAGTACGAAGTCAAATGACTTGTTCATGACAATCATTTTATTTCTCTTTTCCACAATCCCTTTTCTACCCACCCACACCCTATCTGCAGGTTTTGAGACCGCCCGATCTTTTGCTCTTCATGGTGCACATGTGATCTTAGCGTGCCGAAATCAAAGTCGTGCCATTAAAGCAGTGAGTCTGATCACAGAAGAATGGGTGAGTAAACACTGCTTTAATTTGATCATTTTTGTCACTTGAAAATGGACTTCATTGAGGATCTTGTACAAGAGCCTTTGGCTTTATATCTGATGGAAAATTATTCCAAGATATAGATCCCATCCATTTGCTTGGATTCAGCTGGCGCAAATAACAGCAAGAGCAGTACGAAGTCAAGTGACTTGTTCATGACAATCATTTTATTTCTCTTTTCCACAATCCCTTTTCTACCCACCCACACCCTATCTGCAGGTTTTGAGACCGCCCGATCTTTTGCTCTTCATGGTGCACATGTGATCTTAGCGTGCCGAAATCAAAGTCGTGCCATTAAAGCAGTGAGTCTGATCACAGAAGAATGGGTGAGTAAACACACACACACACACACACACACACACACACACACACACACACTGACTCCTTCTGCAGTGGGACGTCATCCCGTGTGACCTTTACGTTTCATAAGTTGTTTTGTGTAGCTGGCATCTCTGCCCTCTCATGAGTCACACAATTAGGTACAGCTTTAAGTCATTAGCACTCTTCCAAGTCCTAGTGAGCTGCCTCACTGTCTGCATCTCACAAAGTCAGCTGCCTACTGAGGCAGCATCCTAATTGAATGTAACCTCATATGATCTGATCTGAAATGTTATTCATAGGTAGCAACTGTTTGCATTCCACACAAAAAGCACTGCTAACAAATTGCACACTTAAGACTTGACTAACAATAGATTCTGATATTAGCATGTTCAGGGTTTACGCAGGGTCTTAAAAAGACTTAAATTTAGTTGTATCAAATTTAAGGCCTTAAAAAGTCTTAAATTGTACAAGAAAGTCTTAATTATGATTTCAAGAGGTCTTAAATTTGGGGACGGAAAGACCAGAATTGCGATATGGCTGAATGTGACGATTAAACTTCAGAAGGCTTTGATTTCATTGAATAAACACAAGCGCTGCAGGTTCAAAGTCCGGTGCTTTGTGTTCTGCCATTACCGGGGAAACATTTATATTTCTACAAAACGCTCCACCTGCTGGCAGAGAGTGAATGAGCATTTTCAATAAAACTGTTGTTTTTTTCAGAGTTCAGACCAATGCGAAAATCGACCCATGTTTTCACCCTGCAAACACGCAGAGCTTTAAATGTGAACTGGTGGATCGATAAGAAGACATTATAAAAACATAGGGGTGTGTTATATGTATGGTCTGCGATAATATCGTAATTGTTGTTTTAACGATGTGCAATTTGATATTATGAGTATATCGTGAAAAGCAAACACAAAACACACCTACAGAGTGCACGCATACATTAGGTGATGAAGTCTAGTTGGTTAGACTAGTGCTCGTGCACATTTAGAATGTGTTCTTTCACTGCATGAATCAGTCTATTAAAATTAATTTATAATTATCACATAATTTAAGAAAATTTATATATTTAAATCATTTGATATAATTAATATCACACTATCACACTAATATTTTTTTCTCCAAAAGTAAGCATGATTACAAATGTGATACTGATTTTATACTACAGTTAACAAGTAACAGTAAACAAGTAGTTAATATTAAGAGACTTACGTTATTTCTCCAACAAAAATCATTTCAAACAGCCACAGCGCTGTTTTGCGTCTCTGAGCAACAAGCTGTTTTGTTCCTGTTTTGTTCTGTTTTGAATGAATCACCCGTTTAAATGATTTGGATATAGTTAATATCACACGAAGATATCACCGTTTTTTTCTCCAAAAGTAAGCATGATTACAAATGTGATACTGATTTTATACTACAGTTAACAAGTAACAGTAAACAAGTAGTTAATATTAAGAGACTTACGTTATTTCTCCAACAAAAATCATTTCAAACAGCCACAGCGCTGTTTTGCGTCTCTGAGCAACAGGACGCTGTTTTGTTCCTGAATGAATCACCCGTTTAAATGATTTAGTTCAAACACAATGACTCACTTCAAACACAATGACTCACTTATTAACCGTGACTTGCTGCCACCTACTGGTGGTTCTAATTTCACATTTAAGGTACCTTTTCATTTTTTAAATAATTTTAAACATCCATTTTCAATGTTTTATGTTTAAAATATCAAAACATTATTTATGCATTTGTAACTGCAGGTTAAAGTATTTAATGTCCCTCAGAGCTGCATTAAACGGTGTGTAAATGCATCTAAATGACACTTCTAATGCAGCTTCTATGTTTCCTCTGCATTGCAAAGATTAATTTAGTTGATACTGATTTAATTTGCATGGTAACAACCCAAATGCAAGAATTTGACTCAAAAGATGGTGCACACTTTTAGAAAAAATGTCTTAAAGGTAAAAATGACCATAAAACTAGTTGGAAATTATTAATTTATATCACTGCTGTGAACTGACCACCACACAGAAGATGAAGAATATAAAAAAATTCAGGAGTCAGCTGTCCACGGTAGTCCTTAAGATATCAGCACAATAACACACTCAGCAAAATATCGTCTAATTATCGTTATCGATAAAATCCAAGAAAATGATCGAAATGTCATTTTTTTTGTCAGTATCGCACACCCCTAATTTGTTATTAAATTGATATAATAATTTATTGATAATTGTTTAAATTAATATATTAATACTTTTGACTCATCCATTTTCTTAACAATGGTTTCAAGGCTGAAATGTAAAGTTTATCATTTTCTAAAACTTTGTTTTTATGAGAACTTGTATCTGAACTGTAAATTATGCTTTTTACAGTAATTTTACAGTTTAATATGGTACTATAGACATTGCCCTACCCCGCTCATATGGTATTAATTTTATTTGTGCAGGTCTTAAAGGTCTTAAAGTCTTAAATTTGAGCTTAAAAGTCCTGCAGAAACCCTGATGTTGCTACTTTAACGCTGTGATACTGTAAACATTAAGTAAAATAATACATTTTAATTTGATTTAAATGATTTACTTTTGACTCATCCATTTTCTTAACAATGGTTTCAAGGCTGAAATGTAAAGTTTATCATTTTCTAAAACTTTGTTTTTATGAGAACTTGTATCTGAACTGTAAATTATGCTTTTTACAGTAATTTTACAGTTTAATATGGTACTATAGACATTGCCCTACCCCGCTCATATGGTATTAATTTTATTGCAGGTCTTAAAAAAGGTCTTAAAGTCTTAAATTTGAGCTTAAAAGTCCTGCAGAAACCCTGATGTTGCTACTTTAACGCTGTGATACTGTAAACATTAAGTAAAATAATACATTTTAATTTGATTTAAATGATTTTATGTGTAGTTTCAGTAGAGTGCAGTGTTACATTTTTACTTTTCTTGTTATAGTCATAGTTTTGTTAGTTAAAATCCCAGCATATTTTTAGCTAAGTGAATAATAATTTTGTTTAATGATGCAAACTGATTGTTTAGATGGTGCAAACTTCATAAGGCCTGTTCACAACAAAGATGATAACTATAACGAGAACTATAAAGTTTTAATAATCATTCTAATTCTACGAGAATAGGGAAGTCTACACCACAGCTATATCAATAACCAAACAGAAGATCAAAACATTTTGTGAGGCTTATGCATAATACAAAATAATAATAATTTGCTAATGAGAAAACTAAACTTAATTCAAGATACTGTATTGGCCCGAATATAAGACGACCCCCCTTTTCCCAGATGTACCTTTTGGAAAAAGGCTTTTTAAAAACCATATCTTGTTTTTTCTCAGTAGAACACATTTTGTCTTATTTTCATATTGCATATTTTTCCCATTTTAATTTTAGTTTTGAAAGTATGGTAAAAACTGGTAAAATGTACCAACAATCACATAAAAAAAAAATACAATTTTTGATATACCAAAAAAAAAAACATGAATTAGGACATTTAGGCTATCCATCTAATAATAGCCTACCAAAATCTTATTAACAGTAGAAGTTCAATCTTACTGTAGTCTTCAAATCTGGGTACTGTCTTACGTTTTAAAATTAGAAAGGGAGTTTGGTCCCATCAGGCTAACGTGACAGTCACGACTCATGCAGCTGTAAGGTTTTCTTTTTCCTTTGTTTTTACTCACAATCTTTACAACACGCATTACATTACGTATTTCATGACACACTTGTTTTATGCGTATTTGGCGCCACCTATTGTTGTAGGTGTATTATTGACATGTCAAAGTCTAGACCCTGAATATAAGACGACCGTGTTTTTTCAGATGTATTTCCAAATAAAAAACATCGTCTTATATTCGGGTCAATACGGTATATTTTCTGAGAAGATATCTTATAAAGATTTTGCTTTTCAAGTAAATGATTTTTAAAAGAATTAGTTTTTTAATTATTTTTTTTACTGGAAAAAGAGAAATGCAGAATTATAAAATAATTTTTCACAGTGTAAATGTCTTTAGAATAGTAATTTTTGTTCTCTGTCATAGAGGTGCCTCAAGGTGTTGTCTTGGGGCTGGTTTCATTTCAGTATCATTACTAAAGCTACTGGAGTATATTTGATCTAATTTTGTCATTTTAATCACTTGAAAATTAACTTGATTGAATATTAAAATGAAGTTTTAATAATAATTCCATTCTTATGAGAATAAGGAAGTCAACACTACAACTCTAACGATATCAACACAGAAGAACGTTAGCTTTGGAGTCACTCTCAGAACAGTTTTTTTTTTCCAGCTAATGAAAAAAAAAATCAGAATCCACACAAATTTTAAGTGACAGATGACAAAAGGTTGGTGTGGATGCTAATATTGTTATAATTATAGTCTTCTTTATAGTTCTTGATCTTTGTGTGAATAGGTCTTAACAGTAGCGCTCCATTTGTTAACGCTGCAATAACTTAAGAACTAGGGCTGGGTTTTGACACAAATTTCACGATTCAATTCGATTCTCATTCACAAGCTTTCGATTCGATTACCAATTTGATTCAATATAGATTCTTTTGGATATATATCAGGTACAGTGCAACTAAAAATCTCAACTAATGCTGCAAAATATACATGAGAGTCAGTTGGTACTACATTACTATAATATTGAAGGTTAAAATTTACTTTTTTTTTTTTTAATTGACTGAATTGACTAAAATTTAAGATTTTTTAAATAATAGTTACAATTACATAATAATATTTCTACTTAGTTTTTAAAAG